TACCTTTGTTTTCAATTCTCTACTTATATTGTTAATCATCCTCATGTTTTCCGGTTGGATTTTTGAGCCCTGGAGAGCCGATCAATTAAAGGATGTCTTTTTAGATAGTAAGAAGTCCATATTATGCGATTTGCTAGGTTGCCACCTACTGCCTAGGGAAGGTTCTTTCGGTAACTTCTTGAAAACCTTCACAGACATGCTGAGATGTTTGGGAACTTGTGCCATTAAAAGGGGCAAAACTATTTGCATTTGATAACTTTGTTTATAATTATGAACATTCTCAGTATGTCTCGTGGATATAAAGATGCAATGCCAAATCTAATCTTCTCTAATTGTGTGTTATGCTATTTCTTATATTTCTTTCCTTCAATCAGATTGCTTTTGTATGTCAATAAAGATAATCATATTGGTTTGTGCTGTGTGTATACTTTTTCATTTCTTAAAATTGGTTGAGATAGATTAACGTGCTTGAAGAACAAAAGAATGACGCATCAGAACAAGCTGAAGATGATATTAAACCAATTGAGAGTGACACAAATAGTGAAGAGCCAACATCTCAGGCAGATGGTTATGATGAAAAACCTGACATCAACGACATGCCCATGGAAGAGATTCAGGTACTTTAATATCTTTACGACTGCTGTATGAAAATTGTGGGAAAAGAGAGTCAAAGGAAAAAAAAGATTAAAAAAAATTAGTATGGTTATTTGGTTGTTTGCATTTTCATTTACTGTACGAATGGCTTGGAGCTTTTTCAAATGAGAATTGGAAGGTATATGAGAGTTGTAGGTTCTATCTTTTTAAAGAAGTTGGATTCACACTATGACTTCATACAGCTAATATTTCATTCATTCGGTTCTATTTTTTTTTTTGTTCTATTTGATCTTTGTTTTTATATAGTGCTTCCCGACCTGCCAGATTTTTAGATTTTTAACCTTTTCTCCTCTCTTTTTCTGTTTGATGCCTTTCTTTAGCTTCTCAGGAAGTGTTTTTGAGAAAATAGGTCATGATTTCTCTCCCCTCACTCGTTTTTCTTCTGTTTGAACTTTTATTTGGTTATACACTCCTGTTTTCTGACTCCAAATGCAATCCAGATTTCATGAGTCTAATGATGATCACATGAGATGATAACGTGCACGAGTGTCTGAATTGTGTTTTTATCTTTCAGGCTCCGCAGAAAAAACCTCCACAACGACAAGACTTAAACGAAAGGACTTTAGACTTGTCTTTGGGTTAGAAGTCTCAGGACGAAAACAATTCTGACTCAAACACAGATCAAGCAAAATATATTCAGTCAAACAAGTGAACTCCAGGAGCACTAGGTCATAATGGGTTCTCCATAAAATGTTGCCTTTGTAATAGTTGAGTGACTAAACTGCCTTTGTCTGCCATGACATTGGCTTATTGTATTCTGTAGCCATTGTTTACTCTGTAGAGGATTCGATTTTTCCGGGGGCTATATAGTGGAAACTTTATGTTGTTGTATCACATTGAAGTGCTAGAGCAGTCCATGACGTGTGTGCCGGATGCACGTCACAGACAGAGGCGGACCTAGGATTTTAACACGACCAGGGCACCACTATTCTGTTCAACTTTTGCCCCCAAAACTTTTAGTGTTCAGGGTGCTAAGTGATTTGGATTAACCATTTTTAATGTATGCACATACATACGCAAGTTTTATGTTGAAGTTTGCCGGGACAGGGACCCCTCAAGGTTATACACAGGTCCGCCTCTTGTCACATGTTTGAACCTTGTTGCAGACAAAAGCATGTATTTGAAATATATTATTGCATCATAAATATCTCTGCACATTCATATGAAATTGATTATGCCACGAAAAACAAACGAGAGGAACAATGAAACCCCTAATAGTTTGATTTGAGATTAGATGAAAGAGGAACAACAAAATACTATTCAATATAAGTATGCTGTTCGTTTCAAACTTTCAATATAACTTTTTCTTTTCTTTTTCTAACAAATTACGTTCATACAATAACAGTATAAAACTTCACATACTCTCAATATAATGGTCTGATCATAACATGATGCTTACCCATTTTTATAGATAAACTAATGTTTAATTAATTTTGTAAGTAATTTGATGGTATAAAACTTTTAATAGCACTATTTGGTGGAGAAGCTGAGATCTGTATTCATAAACTTTAGGTCTAAGATTGAGCTCTAAGGCCATCTATGGAATAATTTAAAAATAATTATATTCACTTTTTAATGTGAAATTTAGTTTTTATCCAGCATTTTAATGCTAAACAAAAATAGCCACTACTCTATTAAAATAAATACGAAAAGACGGTTTTACCCTTTCTTCATGAGTAATGTGTAAATATTAAGGACATGGTGTCCTTAACTTCATGAGTGTTGTATAAATATTAAGGACATTGGATATTTTGTCCTTAATATTTACACAACACTCGTGAAGTTAAGGATACCGTGTCTTTAACATTTACACTGCACATATGAAGTTAAGGGCAGGATGTCCTAAATTTTAAAACAGAAGGTGCTAATTCAGGACACTTTGTCCTTAATATTTACACGACAATTATGAAGTTAAGGACATCATGTCTAGCACAAGGGTATTTTCGTCTGAATGGGTAAAAGTTTATTAAAACATTGACTTAAAAGTAAATACATTTTAAATAGTGACTTAAGATTAAATACAACTATAGTTAGTGGCTAACTGTGTATTTCCGCGTTACGATATGGAGTAACTAGAATAGGATATTACACGGGGCCCAACAATTTGATTTATAATGTGCTAGTATAAAATAGGAGTACAGCGTTATCAAATAAGGAAATCAAAATATAACCACAAAGGATACATCACAGTTTGTAATTCGGAGAAAATTGCAAATTTGCATAGCTTTTAGCTAAAAATTGCAGATCATAGTATACACTAAATACATATGCTCCTATAGTTTTCGAGTGAGTTTCAAACATATGCAAATCATGTATATAATATAGATTAGACAGAATTACACTCTATGTCAGTCGACCCAATTTCAGAACAAAAAATAACCCATATTTTGAAACTTTACCCAACATAGCACATTTTGCAAATAATGCATAGCCCATTTTCATTGATTAACCTAGCTTCCTTTATCTTTTTTGTCTTTCTTCAACTTTTCACCAAAACCTATATCCAAATGCTTCTTCCTCTTTTAGAAGCAACAGTCATTCTCTCATTCAACCTAACAGGAAGACTTATTCCATTACTGTAATAAACATCTCCTCAAGGAGACTAAATCGCTATTTCTATATTGTAATAACAACAGTCCTCTTTTTTTTTTTTTTGTGCAATGTGAATTTTTTAAGACAAAATGCGTTTATCCTCCATTAATAATTTTTTGTTTCTTCTCAAATTGCTGGAAAGAGGTTGAAGAGTTGCAGACATCCTCCATTTTTCCCTTCAATTTTCAAGGTAAATAGGTCGACGATGAAGTTACCGAAGAATGAAAAAGAGGTCTTGTGTTGTATTCTGACATTTTTCAAGTTCTTCAGATGATGTTCCAGTTTTATCTTCTTTTATAAAACAATTCCATCTCCATCTTCTCTCCTCTTTAATTTTCAGATCTAACTTCCTCTGAAAAACTCTCTTTTGATATTTTGATACTGAAATAGAGGTGTAATATTGAATATTAGATGTGTTCTGGAAATATTGTATAACCACTATTTATACACACTTATACATTATTGTATAATTGTGTATAAATGTGTATAAATATATATAATTATATATAAATGTGTATATATGTTCATAACATCACTTATCTTCTTCTTCTCTTTCTCTTATTCTTTTGATATACATTATTATACATTCCATATACAGTTTATACATAGTTATACATCATTATACATGTACCGCATATGTATAATCAAATTAATTTTTTTTCATGTTTTCTTCCTTTTTTTGGAATAATTCATGTATAAATCTACTTTTCTTGTTGATTCTCAGCTAAATCACGAACTTGCAGCAATTGTTTCTAAATTTTACCATATAAGTAGAATCAATGAAAAATTGGGGGACAACTTGCAACAGTAAAGACAAATTGGGGGAGAAATTATACGACAGAAGAATTAGAAAATCTCGTGATTTCATCTAAATAAGATAATTATCCTGATTAAACTCCGTTGCCAAGTAAAAAATCTAAAAAATACTCTTTTTACAAATATTAGCCGACTATTTTTGGCTACAGATTTGTAAATTTATAACTGGGCTATTATGTTGCAAGTCATATATGTGAGTTGTATTTATGTGAAATTATCCCTATAGATTAAGTTTTATTTGAAACCAATATTTTATGTTAGGTTATATGTTCCAATTCCTATTAAACCAACCATTTATCCTTAAAAAAAAAAAAAGATTTCTAATATAATCTTGCAGTGATCAAAGAACTTGGCTGTTCTCTTGAATCAAAGCTAGGGCTAATCTCCATAACTCTTCTTCCCTAGGCCTCACAAACAAGGTAATGGTAATCAAATTCATAAGCTTTCTTGCTTTCTTTCTTTCTTGCTTGCTTGTCTGATGTTTCCAACTTCCCGCAGTTTTTAAATTGGTTAATGTAGTTGATGAGTGGGAAAATAACCTTATAATAACCGAGGTTTTGTAGTTTTCCAAGTCAGTTTTGAGATGCCCTTTACCTGTTTGGCAAAATGCCTGAATGAAATTGTACTCATTTTTTAGTTTCGTCGTTTCTAAAACTGTCCAATTGTAATAGTTGGCGCTTTGCACAACTTTTAACTTCATAAAATTACTTGTTTATTTTCCTTGCCAAATAGAAATTTATCAATGTCGCCTCATACTTGCTGGGTGGGTGGGAGTGGGAGCTATATGACTTGCTCTCAGAATTCTCTTTGGAAAAGCTCTTTTACTTTTTAAGTCTCTGGAGCAATCACCTACTGTCCATTCAATAAAGAAAGATAAGTTTTTTTTTTCCCCAGAAACCCAATATATAAAGTTTTATTGTCCATTCATAAAGGATTTTTTTTTTTGGTTAATAAAGCTCGAAATAGGAGTAGTTTCAGTAGTATTGAAGAATACATGTGTTGTTAGTGTAATTGACGTAAAACTTGTAATAAGAAGTTCTTTTGTTGTTTTTGTTTTTGGTTTTGATGACGGAGAAATCCCCGAGGACTAGTAGCGCTCTTATTAGGAAAAGTTTTCTCTTCTATTTTTCCCATTGATTATGGAAGGTTCCCTTTGATCGTCCCTTAATTATTTTGACTGCAGAGAGCTATGAACCAAAATACCCTGTGAACTGCACTGAACCGGGTTTTCTAGATCCTGTTTCATTTCTCCACATCTAGCTCGATCTCTGTTTTAAATTCAGTCATCTTTATCACCTGTCTCAACAGATACACGCAGAATACCATGGATTTACAAAGCCAGAATACTTCGTTGCAGCGGCTGCAAAATGTTGAGAAGGTAAATGCTTTAGAGAATTATTGACTTAAAATGGGCTGGTTTCAGTAACTGTTACATTTGTATCTTTGTTTTCAAAATACTTTTGAGTTCTATTTTCAGTAACTGTTACATTATTGAAATATTTCGGCTGATTTTGTATCTTTCTCTGATGTTTGCAGAGGATAGTTAGAGTTCTGGAGCTAGCAGGAGGTGTAATGGATGAAATGGCAAATCCAAGTGGTCCGAGGAAGGAGCTTATTAACAACCATTGCAGTGAGTTTATGCAACTAATCAAGGTTTGAACATTCTTTACTAATTCACACCTAGAAGTTCTAGAACCTCTTTATCTGTTAACAAAACCATTTTATGTGTAATAAGAAGCCGTTAACCTTTCGTGCTGCTGCTCTTGGCATTTCATTGTATGACTCTGATGATACTCTTGCTCGGTTACTGATTGTGGTCCTTTTTACTTTATGTGCATTTATTTGCCATTTGGTATTGAATGCGAAATTTCTGTATACTTTTACACTGGGAACTAGTTTGCTGTTGTCATGGGCAATTTATCATTAGTTTTGTCTGAAATAACTGAGTCTATATAGAGTTCTGATTGAACTAAATCAGTTTGAGAACTAAATAGATGATATTGCACCAATTACAACAGGACATCCAGGTCACACTGCGAGAAGAAATCAAAAGCGCATGTGAATATCGTCCTTTTGAGAAGTGTGACTATGTACCAAGAATATCAAACGAGATCTGTTGCAAGAAACTAGAATATGTCATTTCTCAGTTTGATGATATGAAGCGAACAATTGATGGTTATCATGCTGCAGCGTTAGACCATATGACCCTAGATTAGTGAGTAATGTAGGAATATGTCCCTGTAATGCTGGATTTATATCTTATTCCATCAAAACTTAGGTTCATTATCTGCTGTTGAAATTATAGGCATGAAAAATTGGTGCTCACTTGTTTTTTGTTCATGTTGCAAAATTTGCACTATTTGTTTGAGTACGTTATCTACTGTATTTCTTATTTGAACTTGAATTTATAGTTGGTGGGAGAATGGTTATTGGTTATGATTGAAATGCTGTGAAATTAAAAGAGCAGAGGATGAATATAATGAGTTGGTAAATACATTTGACTTTGGATCTCGGTATTAATTAGAGTTTAATTTCTCTGAAGTGTATAGTTCTGGGCAGAGAAATGACCATCTAATGCGTAGGGACAGAGGCGGAGCCAGAATTTCAAGCTTATGGGTTCGGGATTTTAATTGTTTTAAGTTACTAGGTTCTAAATTAATAATTTATATATATTCAATGAATTTTTTAAGACAAACACATGGTTCAAAACAAAGCTACTCGATTCGTCCGAACCCGCACTCGGCTCTCTAGCTCCGCCCCTGCGTAGTTGGGATATTTGGCCCTTGATGTATACCTTAACAGAATGTATCCAGAAAGTGGACACTTTTGGTCCTAAACATTAAAACTAATGATAGATGTTAAAGAGGTAACAACGAGAGAAAATTTTTATTTCCAATTTAACGAATAATAAAATTAAACAAATGTGATAATCTGATTTCCAGTTTAATATATATTTTTGTTTTGTTTCAAATTCAAAATTTACTAGCTCGGTTGATATTTCCTATCGAAGAAAATTTCATATGCAGAGCTGGAGCCAAAGATCTCTAATTAATGATAACGGACCCTTTACCATTTCAAAGAAATTGAGATTAGTCTTTAGATTCCAAAAAGTTGGGGTCCCATACTTCTAATCAGACTGTGTCTCTCTTGACTAAATTCAATCAGAATTCAGTAACACCAATCAAAAAATTTCAACTCATCTTTAAGACTAATTCCTCAAACTTTCTCAAAAACTACTACTCTCCTGGTCAACTTTAATTGATTTTTGCACTTTTTGTGGTCCACAGTATTTGATTTTTTCATATATCAAGAAGGAATTAAGTTTTTTTTTTTAAAGTTGCCCTTGAAATAAAAAGTCTAAGAGTATTTGTTATATTCCAAAAAGATAAATTAAGGTTAATATAGTCAATTTTATCGTTAATTAGTGCTAAAAAATGAATTCTTTAATATATATGAAAACATTCAAAAAAATAATTAAAGTAAACCGGAGAGAGTACATCCAAGTGACCACTCCCCAAAGCCCTTGGCTTTCATCATTTAGTACTCCATCCGGTTCACAATAAGTGACCAATTTGCTTTTAACACGTCCATTAAGAAAATATTAAATTCTATACAAAAATACCTACTATGACTAAACTACCCCTAATTAAACATTTAATGTGAGGAGTAAGAAAACGTTTTAGAGATATGTATATAGGGGTTATTTTGTAAAAATAAATTGAATTCTTTCTTGATTACATAAATGAACATTTATTTTGAACAAAAATGAAAAAGCAAATTGGTCAATAATTGTAAACCGGAGAGTATAAGCCCAATTGTCATCAACTTCTATGCACTTTCTCTCTTTCTCTTCTCAAATAACAAGAGTACAAGACCTCTTCAAACTTCAAAATCCTTCACAATATTTATTTTCTCTCCTCCTTCTTCCCTCATCCTCGAAACCACCAAAAAAACTCCTTATTTCTCTTACTAAGTTATTTTCATTTCTTTGAATTAAATATGAAGAAGCTTTATAGTAAAGGCACAGTTCATCCAATTACTCCTCCACCTTTGGTATTATCAGACCAACTTTCTTTGTTACCAGCTACAATCTTGACACTATTTTCAGCTTTACCTCAAGAAGATAGACAAGTCTTGGCTTATTTAATTGCTTGTAATAATTCCTCCACCAATTTTTCCAACAATCTTGGAAACTCTAGTACTCATAAGAATAACAACAATTGCTGTTACTGTTTCAACTGCTACATGAGTTACTGGATAAAATGGGATTCATCACCTAATCGTCAACTTATTCATGAGATTATAGATGCTTTTGAAGATATGGGGTTGCAGAAGAAAAAAGGAAAGAGCAAGAAACAAAGGAGAAATAAAAACAAAGGATCGTCATATGGTGGTTCATGTGAAGTGAAAAAGACTGAAATTTGTGAGTCTGATTCTTTGAAGGAAAATACCTGTAGCTATGATAATGGTTATAGAGAAGAGGAATTTGGAGTTGAAAAAGGGTCTGTGAGAACGTTTGTAAGTTTTCTTGGGGAAAGCTTGTGGAGTATTTGGAATATCTGAAAACAATAACAACAAACTCGGTGAAACCCCACGAATTAGGTCTCGGACGGGTAGTGTATACGTTACTCCTACCTTGTGAAGGTAAACAGACTGTTTTAAGGTGAAGCATAGTCAAGTCACTTTTGAAGAAATACTTTTATAAGGTAATTTTGAGAATGTTTAGGTTGGTTTTGTTAATTTTTTACTTCTACTTATCCCATAGAAGTTTTGTTTAATTTTCTTGATTTTCTTTGTCACTATGTTTTATTGTTCTCATTTTTGGGGTTCTGTAAAATACACCCTTCATGACAATGTAAGATATATGGTCTTTTTTGAATGTTCACTTTCAACTTTATTTCCATATTTTGATATCAATCAATGCTTAGTTAGAACTTCCTTTTCCCTTTAAACATTCGGGAGTTGTTTATGAATAAACCAAGTCCAAAAAGAAGTGAGTTTGTTTCTTTTATATAAATATTTTGTAAAGGAGATACACTCTCTTTGGACTTTACTGTATGACAATAATAAACTCAGTGTAATCTCACAAGGGACTTTTACTCCTAATAATTGGAAAAAAAATGTTAAATCAATAGTTAAGTATAGGGTTTGCATACTTGGAAAAATGGAACTTTAGGGAATTTGTTTATTTATTACTAGTGAAGGGTGCCTTGGCGTACCCGGTAAAGTTGCTGTCATTTGATCAGGAGGTCACGAGTTCGAGTCGTGAAAACATCTTCTTGTAGAAATGCAGAGTAAGTCTGCGTACGATAGATCCTTATGGTCCGGCCTTTTTATGGACCTTGCTCATAGCGAGAGCTTAGTGCGATTTTTTTTTTTTTTTT